TGTGTGATCGGATTGAGAAATAATTGAAGAATCGTTGGTATTCTCGACGCGATAAAAATAACGCGCGGCATGAATGCGCCAGGATAAATTAAAGGATAATTTCTTAATCGAGAGAAATGTGCATTATCGATGAACGATGCAGCCGGGCTTAATTGCGCGATGCGGATAAAGTCATTATGCGTAATCCGTTCCGGCAAATCAACGAGGAGACCGCATTTCATCGTTTCGACGGTTTCGGCGTGACGTGAATTTTAATGCCGGCGACGCCGGGGCGTCCTCCCCCATATAATGCGGACACAGATTTAATAATGGAATGGTTAGTGGATTTCGTGCTAACGCACTGCAATTTTTGGAGAGGCTTGTCGCGAGGAGGGAAAACGGAATAGAGAAGAAGAACGCGCCGGGCGAGACGGCTCTTGCCGGATACGACGTACCCGGAACGCGGATGAGTACGTGAGTGGCATGTGTGAAGGGACGAAGGAAGGGCGCGCCCCACGAAGAATACTCCTCGCGAGCACGTAATCTATTTGTCGGACGACCGCAGACTGTGCGACGTTACGGAATCGTCTGACTGCAAAGAGACCGCCGCGAAAACGTGAAACCGATACGAGTTCGCAAAGAGACGCTAAAAAAAGAAAAAAAAATCCTATTCTCATTCCCTATCGTTGAACAAGAGAGGAGAGCTTGGATAAGTTCGAGCCGTTCGACGTGCGTTGTACGAGAAATTGTGATCCGCTATTAGAGGTAAATTCGAGAAATCGAGCGCGATATGTATGTAAGGGAAATCCTGACGATCGACGTTAACCGGCTCGTAGCCATTCCGGGCGGTGTAAAATCGACTTTAATACCGTCGTATTTCTGGTCGTAAGAAATTCTATCTCCGAGCGCGCGCCGAGCACTTATGGTTTTTGTACTTTAGCCACCACCGCCGTCCGGAGAACCGAAATCGAGCCGAAACGAATCGCCGTGACAACGTGACACTTTTATCATCGCGCGTGCAAAACGTTAATCCCGCATACCGAAAGATCCATTCGGTTCCACGTTTGCATTTCATATCGCCAATTCCGGCGAAGGAGATGAGGGGGTTGGTTATCGAATGGCGCATCGTGGACTTGTAAAACTTTGGAAAGGGGCATTTAATTTTAATCAATGCAATAACGAGGCCCATCGAGATGGCATTCGTTCGAGCGTGTAGTCGACCATTTGAATGGATTCCCCCGCCGTTATCGCGTCGCTCTCGAGTTCTTATTCTCATCGATTCGCGGAATAACGGGCCATAAAAGGCGTCGAATTTCGGGGCCCGATCGATGGACCCCACCGAAAAGTGGCCAGACAAGCGGGCCTTGTCGGGGCCCGATATCCGACGAATAAAACTGCGCATGGGCCGCGATCGGCTACGGACCCGACTCGTATATATGTATACGCGAGCGCTGTAGATTTGCATTCTAATTGTCGGACGATTCGACAAACGCGCCATTATGGGCTCCGTTCGGAATCGCACGACGGGCAGCTGAGGAGACTTCTGCGTCACGAAACGAGGTGCCAAAGAGTCCTCAGAGATAACGAGAACGGCCAATAATCGAAAAAGTAAGGACCTCTTATCTTATCCTTTCCGCCAGTCTGGCGAAAGCAACGGCGTCTTCGATGCGTCCGTTTAATATGCATAAGTATACAAGTTATCGCGGAAAATGGGGAATACGAATGGAGGGAATACACGAACGTTCCCCGACAACCGGTCGTTGCGAATCTAGTTATGCCGAATTAATTCAAACAGCAGTCAATACGTTTCATTTCGCGACCGTCTCTCACCGTCCGAGGCCACATCTATTTCACGAATACAAATTTTAATCGATGGACGTGTTTGTTGGAAATTTGCGCGCGAAAGGAGGTAAAGAGATGATAATCGCCGAGATAACGATTAATTAAGGCTCATTTAAAAGAAATATAAGGGAACGTGTATTCGTGTAACATGGAAATGCGAAGGAGGATATCCTGACGAGAATCGTAAAAGGGACGCGAGCAGAGGGACGACATTTGCGCACAAGTTGTTTTTATCTTATCGATGGACCTTTCCCCAAAATCGCCACCATTTCGTCGGATCCAATCGGCCTTGATACCCAATAAGTACAAACACGCATCGCGTTAACCGTAACTCTAGCTCTGAAATTTAATTCCAACCTTTCACGACGACTACCGAATTTTTTAATTAATCGCCCATCCACGCATGATACACCGCCGCGCTTAATTTAAGCCGCTTGTAATACACGTCGTTCATGATCATATTTTTATAAGTAGACGGACGATGCGAAATTAATTTCCTTCCAACACGACCCGTCGGCGCGAAATTAATTTCATGCGTATCGTCGAACGCGAACGCATGTATTAAATTAGTATACTCCTCCTTCAATTCCCTTACATTCGCTTATCTAACATCGCACAAAATATATGTGTACGTGTGGAAAGGAGTTGTCCTCCCCTGTCAGAATTCTGAAGCAATCGATATCAACACTTAGTTACGTACACTGTTAGTTTCAGTACAAAAGAGTACGATGGCGAACGAATTATTAAATCATCTTCCACATATTATTATTATTCTCTCGATCATATTATTATTAAAACGTTAAATTATACGGACGACTCGCGTGGCGCAACGGAAATCTTTGATCGACACTTTCCTGACGATTTCTAGTATCTGACGGGCGATTGTTCGGATACCGTTTGTAATTCAACGACCAATGCACACTCGAACGGTCTATCTAATTGCCGGGTACCCATAAGAGGCCTCTTGCCGCCGGGCGTTAATGAATACTTCAAGTCACGACCGGTAATTACACTTTAAACGTCGCGGCGATGCCCGCGACGTGGCGAGTGTACGTATTTCGTGGTACGCTTCTCTTCTCGTCGCGGAGTCGCGTGGACAAAGGGCTCACGTGTATTCTAGGACGAAAGGAGACGAAGCCGAGGAGTACAATGCCGAACATTATGCGCGGTGCGGTTCAGAGTTAACTCGAGCCTCGATGCCGCGTCTTCTTCTTCTCCTCCAGTCCTGTCTCTCTTCCTCCTCGATTATCTTTTTCCCTGCGTCCACTTCGTCGGCTCGCTCTGCACGTGTGCGAGATCGTAAAAAAATGCAACTAATTAACGACCAAAAAGTAGGACCAGCGGGAAGGTTTTTGCCGCGAACGCGAGAGAAGGTCCGGACTGTCCAACTAGAAGAGTTCAAGCGTGCACCTCGCGCCTTCGTTTCGACTCTATCAGCTGATGGACCGAACTGCCGATGGAAAAGGCAACGAGCTCTCTTGCGAGATGAAGCTTCTCCTCTTTTGCTTTCTTTTCGGCGGCCAATAAATGACGATGTGTCAAATATCATTTGAATTGAGATAAATGGAGTCGGTTGTTTGTATAGGAAAAAGTGTGGGAAATACATTTGCGCTTCTTTACATACGTACATTGTGTTGATTGACTCAAGTTGCTAACGATGTTTGTATCTCGTTCATCACAAATTTTACGAGGACTAACGATTAAGCGGTAATGTTAAATTATACACCACCGACGTAAATCGATCTGATTGGATGGCAATAAAGCACTAATGAGATGACTGTAATAATATCCACTATTCCGCGGAGATTGATTATGAGTTTTTGTGTCCCGGCTAAAGGATTAATGATAGTTGCGTCTTTAACGAGTTGTTAAAGACTACCGTAGAAAGGCGAGCGCAACTCGCTCAAGATTGTGATTACCTATACCTCGTTTATCCGTACGGAAGTTTCCTATTCTTCGACATTACTAACAGCGTCATGTCATTACTCGGCTTAGCGCAGTAAAAGCAACGTAAGGCATTAATATTTATAGGCTACTCTTCTTGAACATCAGACTTTGCCATCTATGCGATTTAAATACTGCATTAATGATTACTGGAATGAATATACAGGGTATAACGAATGTAAAATACGCGTAACGAGTGCGGTATAATTAATCCACGTAACGTTGAAAAAGCATTAACTCGGAAGGAGGCAAAAGTAAATCGGTATTTTTAAAGGTTAAATAAATCTCAAATTAGTTATATGTTCCCTCCGTTCTTGAAAACGAGCAGTTTTGTTTACGAAATACCTCGTAAAAAGAAGGGATCTTTTGGCAACGATAACGCGGTTAACGGCAGATGCTCGGAAAGCCGCGCGATCCGCCTCTCTCGCCTGCAATCTAATTAATCTAATTAAGCCGAAGCGCCTCGTTATTGCGGCATGCGTTATACGCGTAAGAGAGAATTAAGAAAAAGAAATGTAAAGGAGAGAATGGCCGAGTTGCGCTCGTAACAGATCGGTAACGCAAGATCGTCTCACGTAGTCTTATCGCCGACAGTCGACATGATCCATTAAAAAGATTATTATCGAATTGAGAGATCCTCTTCGCTCGTATATTCAGCTTGAAAACTATTTTTATCTCTCGTCCGTTGCCTTTACATTTTACGTTTCAAATTTAATCGCGTGCAATTAATTCCGTCGTACTTATTATAGCGAATGACGAAATAAAAACGGAATTAAATAACGCGAATTTAAAAAACAAATTTTGCACATTTATCTAATTTCGTGTGTGAGAGCTTAATTTTCATTTTTTACCTTTTAACATCCTGAAGTTTCACGTGAACCATTTTTAATTACGCTCGCGACCGTATCATGCGCGTTCACACGTGCATGCAATCACGTTTCGTATCAGCGACGGTAATCTCACGACACGCACGTGAACGCTGTAAACGAACCAAGCGATTATGACGATCATTCATCCGGCGAGTTTTCTCGAACAAGAGCGATTACGCAGAACGGAAACTTGGCTTTTTCTCGGGGGGGAGAGCAAGAGTCGCTAATACAACGAACCGCTTCGTTAATTACGATAATTAAACTGCACGCAGCGATGGTATGAGACTTTTACATTCCGAAAGAATCGTCTCAATCCTATCACGCTTACCGACGATGTTGACATGGCTCGAGAAAAATTCCACTTACCCATTGCATCTGAAACATAAAAAGAGACATTTATTTTTAATAAATGCGAGATTAAATTTATATCTAGAAAAAAATATAATTATACATATATGCATGTATTGTATAATTTGACGTATCATATTATTTGCTCTCTTAATATCAAACATGATTCATTAATCGAGATATTGATACTAGTCATTTTCAATTTTTGAGATATTAAAGATATTAAAGATATTCACATTTTTACCTCCAGCTATTCTAATGGCAAGATATCGATATAAAAACGCACGATCATTATATCAATATTTAGACTTTATGCCTCGTCATGGTCCGTCTGAATGCCACGGTTTACGCGCTTCTTCGGTAAGAACCGCGCCGAATGACTTTATGCGCAACGCGCAATAAAAAGATCGCGCGAACGCACGGCTAATTCCGCGCTAATTGCCCGACGGCGTTAAAGAGCGTTTCAAAAGGGGAAAAAGTCGCTTTCCGCACATTGTGCGAAAGAGAATCAACATTCTTCTCGGTCATGATTTTACGCGAGCAGAGATCAAAGTCGAAACTTTCCGCGAGTATACCTTGGAATCCGGAAAAGGCTGAAAGATGTCGACTTGTCCCAGGTCGATCGAAAGATATCGCGAATGCGAAACCCCCGATTACTCGTCAACGCACGTGTAATTTATTTATCATTTCCCGCTAAATAAAGAATCGGGCTCTAATTGCCTCATTGTGCGAGTCAAATCGAGTCAAGTGGGCGGCAACCGCTGATGATAAATCGAACGAAAGATCGAATCCGGCGCTCGAGACAATCGCGCGACTGAATGAAATCTTGCGAAATAAACGAACACGCTTTTCGTGCCGCCGACTAATATCCGTCCTTACTAATCTTCATAATCGCACGCTGTATACTCGAAATATCGGGCGGAGCGACAGCGTTCCAAGGAGAGTCGCTCTCTCGGTCGATCCGAGATATATATTGCCGGGAGGGATATATCTCATGACGGACAACGACGCAAATATACGCCGTGCCCGGCCTCGCGATACAGAAAATCGACGGGACTAGTTTGAAACGCGCAGGCGAAAATGGAGAGCGAAGTCGATATACAAGCACGGGCGCGTATACGCGGCTTTATTTAAACTGGAGGCCTGAACGATCACTCATATAACTCATCGGAATAATCTCCGCAAAAGACACATACCGCGAGCTCACCGCGTCTTGTATACACGCCCGTGTCTATCTCTCCACCTTGGTCTATCTCTATTTATTATTCTTAGCCGCGACTGTGTCTCGCAGAGCGATAGCCGACACTCCTCGCGTGTGGCTTTGCACACGTGTATACGTATGTAAGCGACTCGCGACGGTTTGCACGCGTGTGTAAGTGGGTAGATAGGTATATGTATAGGTGTAGAAGTGCACGGGGAAATTTTTCGCGAGCTCCATTCTGTCTTCCATAGCCGGTTTACTCGCACGAAGCGGGCCGAGTTTGTGTACGGGCTCTGACTAACCCATTAGCGCCTCGGTCTGTCGATCGACATGGCGGATCGATCGATAAAAGCCACGCCGAACACTTCCTGGCGATAGGAAGGCCCGTCGTTTCTTTCGCAGCCGACCAACCGAGGAAAGAAAAATTACAGTAGCCGCGGTTATCGCTAAATGAATAGCAGGCGCATTGGAATCTTGTACCAAGTAGCGTAATATATTCTACAATCCATTTTAATTCACACTCGCATTCCGTAGAGTCTGCTATTTTTTAGATTGACTTTTAAAGACAGACAATTTAGAAGATGGAATAATCTTTAGAAGATGGATTAGGTACTAATTTTAATAAGGTATGTTTCTCCTTTCGAGAGGAAAGTTTCTTTTATATTTGAATAATGATAAAGAACCGTAAGAATAATTAGTTATTTCCTGCTATTATCTAATCGCACGGTAAGAGCTGTCGGCGCGTTCTTTCGACGAAAGAAAATAACTTGTTCGGTTCAACTTTAAATAATGGCAAATTTCTACAGACGGAACACGCAAACATTCAGCGGCTATTCTCGCAGCTATCGCGAGGATGCCAATAATTCGTCCGTCGTGAAAATAGAAGCAGCGGCGGTGGAGATGGAAATGTAAACGGAGAAATAACTATAAATTAATGATTACAAAGATTCGACGAAAAGACGGTGCGAATAGTGGTAGGACGTGCGGAATAAGATGAGAGAATTGGCCACGTAAAACATTACCAACGAAATACACGGTGAACGGAATAAATGACGTGATGACGATCGGCGACCATCGTAAATATCGCGACAATCGTCGCAGCAGTTGCCAAAGGAGAGATTTGTTCAAACGATGGCAGAGTTGTATCCGCGAAATCTCGATCCCCGTCTTCTCCAAAGTCGTTTATCGACATCGCTCTCTGCGAGATGCAAACACTTTCAATCGCGAGGGCAATGACCTCGTGCCTTCTCGCGACGTGATTCTTCGCTGCGTGTTAAATAAATCAATTATTTCGGAGGATACGACGGATTGTCGTGGTATTTATGGTCGTCTGTTGTCGTCGTGAAATATATCTCCGCCTCTTGCCAAGCTACAAACACTAATACATCATTATATCTTATTTATAAGAATAGCCATTAATTTTCTGTGCGTTATTTTATATTAGATTTACTTCGACATGAATAACAATATATAATCAAAGTGACAAGTTGAGGGCAATTGAATGGATCGATTTAATCATAGTCATCGATATCTTGTAAAAAAATTGATAAGTAAATGTATTTTTTTACGTAGTTTTATATATATGTGTGTGCATTTTTATGTACCATAGAAAAAGTTATAAATTTTGTTCGACACTCTTGGAGAAATAATTGAATTTGGACCAAGGAAAGTTTTACCATCCGTTCCTGTTTGCGAGCGTACGAGACGATGAAGTGTAGGGAGCAACAGCCGACGGCTAAATTTTCGAGATGGTTTCTGCCGATCCGGGCTTAATTTGTAGCACGTTCTTGCAGGCAGGGGGCGATGAGGTCCATTCGATCGTCGCGTGGTGTTGCCGGGTTAGTTAGCGCGACTTAAGGCGGCTGCTGATGCAGCCGCTTCTTGCCCGATCCCCCCTCCCACCTCATTCCAATTTTTGCCGCTAAAACATCGTCCCTAATTAATCTCCTCGGTCCCTCCCGCGCCGACACTGCACGAGCTGATGTGGACGAACGGTGACAATGGGCAGAAGCCGGAGTCTGGAATCTGCCGAATTCGTCGGCGTGGTGAGCGATCGAGAGAAAAAGCCGGCCGACGCTTAACACGTCCAAAAGGATGACGCCGATACAAGGCTAGCCGGAATGAATCCTAATAGGTATTTTCGAGCCAACTTCAATGTATAAGATTTTGTATGCTGTGTTCATTGAAAAATTTAGATGATGTACGTTTAATGGTTGATTTGCGACTTAAGTGGAAGATAAAACAAATTCTAAATTCAAAGATAAAGCAATTATTTGCGAAGAATAAATTTCGAAAAAGATACATCAAATCTAGAGAATAAATGAAATATTACGACATTAATATATAATAAATGTCGTATAATGCATAAGAATTGCGAATAAATGCAATATGGTATAAATGGATTTTTATTCAGATGCATATAAAAGTGCTAAAAGTTTACGTAAGTTTTAAATACAAGACTACTTCTCGTCGATTCACGCAAATCCCTCTTTGAATTTCAGATATGTTTTAACCGTGAACGTAATACTGACAATGAGGAGGAGTTTCGTTTGGAATCTGCCGAATTCAGAGCGGCGACTTTGTGGGAAAAAACCTGCATGAGACGACGTTTAACACCGACGAGGACGACGTTGATGAGAGGTAAGTCCGCTAATGGGAATTTGCGAGACGGTCGTAACGCTCTCCGGAAACGTATGGGATGCACTTAACGTCTTACTTCAACGTAACGCGGCTCAAAAACCGCGTCGCGGGGACTGATTCGCAGGTGGCACTCGAGCTCGTAGTCCAAGCTCGAGAGGAGGCTGAAAGGGCGCGCGGTTAATTGGGATAATCGCTACAGTAAATCCGCCGAACGAGCTCCGCTCGGTAATATCTCTATCGAGACAGCTTTTAATTCCTCGCCGCGGAATGTGCCGCGTGGAAGAAATGCCGACCAGTGCGGCGCATGGCATTCGCGAAAAAGCGTCGAATGCATAATGCCCGAAGGATCGCGTCTTGAATCCTGACGCGCGTAAACTCAATTTGTCGCGCGAGGTCCCTTTGACGGCCTTTGCGAGCGGCGAGCGAGCAAGAATGCGCGATATCGATCGAAACACGATTCCGAAATCGACGGGCGAATCGCCAACCGCTCCCCGAAACTGCGATCACGTCGCTCAAACGGACTCTCGCAAAAAGACGAATGCAACTCTCGCAAGTTTGTTTCTTTTTAAATCTCGTTATTAAAAACTAACGCCGCTCGTTTCCGATATTCTTCGATTCCCGGGAATCAATCGAACATTCTTTATACCCTGTCAAAGAAAATGGCAGAGATATGTGGCTTGTTTACAATCTCCTTAACAAATGTCCAATAAAAAATGTTTAAATTCGTCCGTTTGTATTCGTCTTTTAAACGACCGAAATTATTTTGATAGAAACTGTTTTAAAAACAGTGAATACTTGATTAACGGGATTGATAATGAATAATTAATGACAACATACGGTGTCTCTCATCACAAGTAGTAGGAGAATGACTTGCTGTATAATTTTCGAAAGGATTAAAATTACCATTGTGCGGATTTGACAAACTTTCATGTAATTTTTGCGAATTTTTAACATTCATATCATTATGTAAAAAATTGAAATAATTATTATAATTTATTATAATTTAAATCTTAAAGTTAATATGATTAAAACATTAAGCCAGAAGTAAAACACGAGGAAAAAGAGGAGATTCTCGCGGAAACCGCAAAGACTAATGAATATATTTAATCGTCATTACTGCCAAGAAGCCTGCAAATAGATGTTGACGTCATAAAGCGGATTGTTGATTTGAAAATCTCTCGAAAGA